CGCTACGTTCTTTATCTTCGACGTCAAACTCACCATTCTTAAACTTTTGAAACCACTCACCACAACTTCTCTCACTTAAAACAGCCTTACCATATGCTTCTATAAGCAATCGATGCGCCTCAGCTGCAGATTTCTTCAAATTAAAGAAGTAAATCAAAAGTTCCCGCAAATGACGCTTATTCGGCTCAAAACTCGACATTTTCGCACGAAAAAAATTATGTGATGCTGATACAAAATCGCTAATATTTCAAGGTTATAATGTTGCCAGATGTTCAATCTTACGATATGACGTTTTATATCTGACAATTTCAACCATAACTTACTGGTGGGGCCATCTTTTGTCAAACGGCGGAGACTTATTTGTACTCCCAATATAATCTAAAAGAATAACTATATCCGAAACACGTCTAACAAAATTCTTCCTTGTACGAAATCCATAAACGTTTAATAGTTGCAAATATTTTGTATTTTCTTTTGGTATACTGAATAATTTCAATTCTTTTTCCGGTGTTATCTCTTGTACTGTTAGTTTATAATAACCGCTGCAAAAATTCAGCAGTAAAATAGTTGCATAATTAATATTTGTAAAATAAACTTCTTGTATAAATAATCCAAGTGTTAAAATGTTTCGTTATCAATTTCCTGAATTTCGAAGTCATAACAAAAATATTTTCGGTTTTTAAAACAATATTTTTTTTTATTGTAATGATAATATGTCAAACTCTGCAAAACTTTCCTTTAACATAATGAATAACACAACGAATAACAGTGACAGCAACTGTTCGTCTGCAGAAATTGTAGGTGTGTGAAATTATCGTGCGAGATATTTTTTCTGATGTGTGACGGCTTATCAAAACTAATATTCGAATTATTAAAAGTACATCATATATTTTTATAACAACTTGATTTATACACGCTGTTGACCAATTTTATTGATTCAACAGCATTTCCCTCCATGTAAAGGTTCCATATCAGAGAAAGTTCTCGAGATATTAATAAATTATTTCATTCATTTTTTCCTTTCTTTAATTCGCTGTTAAATTTAGCAAGCCAAGTCATGATCAGCAAGCTAAATTATGATTTGCAAACAGGCACGCGCGTCTATGAGCTCGGTGGCGAAGTATTAAGGCACGCGTAAATCGCTTGCGATCGATCGATCGACATGTCGAAAAGCATCAGTGCAGCACGACACACAATATCCGTACTCGTTGACGATTCGAGCGGACGCGAGTGTAAGCGCACTCATGTACCCAGCGAATTCCTCTCTATGCGCGGGGTATGGGTGGTGCGAGGTACGATTTCGCACAGGATTGGGAGCATATATACGGGTAATGTTTTACAGGGACCCGCAGTTTAGCGTGGAGGGTTTACCGGTATCTTTTCGAGTGCCGTCGGTTTCCTATCAGCCAGGGAAAGGAGGAATTCAACTTTTCGTCATTTTTATCGTGTCTCCTTCACGACACCGATCAACACATTAGTTTCATGGAATGTGATTACTTTCTGAACTGCTTCTGCTGGGCACACGCGGTAAATATCGCAGAATCATCAGACCGTTGCAGTAAACCTGCTTTTCCAATAAACAAATTTAACTCATTAAAGAGAAGGGTGACTAAAACGCAGAGAGAGGTAGAGAGAGATTGCAGCATTTAGAAATTATTATGGTGCAAATATGTATATTATACGATAGCGACTAGTTTGTATCTTATTTTTCGCATGGCTGAATAGAGTGATTAAACAATATAAACATATATATTTCTCAAGTTTGTGTCGGGACTGGCTAGGAGAAATTGCGAGCTTATAAATAAATCTGAGAAAAACAGTGTTACGCTGCTGTACCGTCATTTCTGTGCATTCAGCGTCTCTATGAAACGCTTCTGGTTGAATTAAATTAATTAGATTACATTAATTAGTGTTACGCCCACGTAACTTTTTTGCACGATTAAGTCTTTCGTATAGAAGGAGATAAGCAGGCGCGACTCGAGTCACGCCACGAACAATGTACTAATAGAATTTTAAATTATTTTAAACCAGAGAAATAATTATTGATTATTTCTCTGGTATATCATGAGAAACATCTTTCCCCTTCTCAAAAGAACGACAACTCGCGTGGCGAGAATTCGCGTGGGGGTCCTCACTACCTGCCTATAAAAGACGATAGTCGATTATTTCACAAGCGCACTTTTAATTAGCTCAGATTGTAGACGCATTCTTTATCAATCGGTTTTATAGTTTATTTATAACAATGAGCGTATTTTAAATCAATTAGTGATTCTGTTTTCATCGGCGCACTTTTAGTCGGTCAGTCAGCCGGCACATTAGCTTACTAATTCATTCAGTCGCCTTTAGGAAATCGAAATATTATAATTCGTTCTGTTATCATATTATAAATAAAAAGCTTATTATTCAAGAATAAGTTCGAGAGATCAACTTTTCTACTTGCAGTCTTCGTTTGACAGTCGGTCAGAGCAATTAAACTAATCAGTGCTCTTTTAAGATATTCATTATCTTATTCTTAAATTCTCCAGGAATCGTAAGTAACGTTTCATTTTCAAATGATATCATTAACTAATCTTCCTCTCTCCCTTTCTAAATTAAAAAAAACACATTCATATATATTCAGATTAATCATCTCGTTTGTTTAAATTCATTTCTAAAAGCGCGTAAGTAGTGTTTTATTTAAAAATTATCCTTAACTAATCCTCCTTCTTTCTAAATAAAAAAAAAAACACATCCACATTCATATACATAAATTAACACACGAATTGACCCATGCCGAAGTACATTAGTTAAATCCTTCGATTTCGAGAAAAGGACAATTAAACGATATATTAAGATGCGCTGGGGTGACGTGACATGAAATTAATTAGATCAGTAGGTGCGCATGAGTGAAAAAATGCTAATTGAGCGTGTGGTTTTTTATCAAAACGTGATAAGAAAATGCAAGCGCATGCTTATTAAAAATCCGGCTGCTCGCATGCGCTCGGGTAATTAAATTTTTTTGGTCACAAAGAAATTTAATTAATACACGTGTACGTACGTAAAATTCTCATAATGCTTGCGCTAGTGTAATATTATGCGCGATGCGACGCATTTATTTATGTAGTGCCGTTTTTTCTCCGGAGAAATTATTATTACCGCGTGAGAGTGATAGTTTTATAGTGGCCAGGTGATATTTTTATGGTAATCAGGAATGCACTTTGTTCTGCATACACAGAGATCGAGTGGAAACATGAAAATTCTTTGTGCCTGGAGTTATGTCGTGCTTTCGATTCTGCTGCTTACCTTGGCCGGAAATGTCGACGGGACTCGACAGCGGAGCATGAAGTACGGACGCGCTCCGCTTCTGGAAAGATTCGCCTGGCAAAAGCTGGATTTCTCTTTTCCGGACGAGCGTAGCAGGCAACTGGCGATCGCGAGTGGCGAATTCGTGCCTGAAAATTGTTTGCCCGTCGGCATCGAGATCTGGAGGAACAAGCTCTTCGTTACAGTGCCGAGGTGGCGCAATGGTGAGGACATCAGATGAGCATTAGAAATGTCATTGATTGAAGTTCTTTTAAAATTTCTTTCTCCCTCTTTCTTTCTTTCCTTTTTTCTCTCTCTCTTTCTCTCTCTCTCTTTCTTCCCCTCGGTTAACACCTACGCGACGCGACGGACAAACGGGCTGCGCGATCGCAAAAATGAGACGCGACACTTCAAAGTCAGGAACCGGAAGCAGACGCCGGCATAATACGCGGAAGATCGCCGTAGGAGGTACACTCCTCGTCTGGGCGACTTCCGGCCCGTGACAAAAAGCGCCGAAAACCGCGAGCGCGCTCTCAATAGGAGCGTTTCTGTCTTTATCGACCTCCGCCCCCATCCTCGCGAGCCAGGACCTCTGCGGGGCTCGCAGAGGCCTTCGCCCCCTGCTCTCGCCAGAAAGGGAAACACAGGGACGAACCGGGCTTTTCATTCAGACTCCCGCTGCCCTTTATTCATCCGATTTTTTTGCACGCTCTATGTTTATTATATACGTTGGCGCGCGCCACCGCTTTGTGCGCCACAAAGGCTGGACAATGACGGCGGTACGCTGTGTAAGGTCCTTAATGTACTACCCTTCCGTACCACTCCTTCACTTCCTTCAGAGACCTTCGCGACCTCTCTGTAATGCCTTTCTTTTTTTTCTCTTTTTTCACACTATTTAACTTCGAACTACATGTTCTGTGATATATTGTAATGTTTGTCCTTTTTTTTTTTATATTAGGAACTCGCGAGATTTTATTAGGCTTTTCTCTTTGTTAATATCTTTCTATTTTTCTCAGCGATATTTTTTATTAATAGTAAGTAACGAAATAATGCATGACACGTTTAAATTCAAAGTATTTGCTGTCGTTATACATAATTGAAAAATTAATCTCTTGTGTCACATTTCAAGTAATTATCCGATTTCGCATTTGTAAAGTAATTCGCCTTTTGTTCTTATAAAGATGTTGACGAACTTTTGCAAGTTTCTAATACCTCAAAAAAATGTGAAATTCATTGAGTAAATAAGTGAAATGCTAATATGACAGTGGATTTGAACGCGTTTCATATACAGGGATACCATCCACATTGAATTACATATCACTGGATACTAATCAAGCCGGATCGCCCAAGCTGACGCCTTATCCGAGCTGGAGTCAGAATAAGGCTGGCGCTTGCGGCAGCGGATTAACCACTGCGTACAGGTGACGAATAATATATCACCGATACTCTTCCGAGTCGATATATCACAAGAATAATTTTCAAGTAAGCCTTGGAGACGTTCTACGTGAACGATAATTCCCTTTCAGGATTCACGCGGACGCCTGCAACAGATTATGGGTGTTGGACACGGGTACGATAGGAATCGCCGAAACAACCATACAAGCCTGTCCCTACACCTTGAACGTATTCGACTTGACCACGGATAAAATCCTGAGACAATACCAACTCAGGCCGCAAGATATCAATCAGGTACACGGCTGTCACTTTGTTCTTTTTCCGATGTTCTTTCGTCTCTTTTGCTCGATTCTTTGTTCGTTTGCTCGATTAGGACTCTATTAGTTTTTCGATTCTTGTTTTTCTCACCACGCAGAACACTTTTATCGCCAACATCGCGGTCGATCTGGGCAAACACGGTTGCGATGACGCTTTCGCTTACATGTCTGACGAGCTCGGTTACGGCCTGATCGTGTACTCATGGAAGAATAATACATCCTGGCGTATCACGCACAGTTACTTCATGCCGGATCCCTTGGCGGGCGACTACAACATCGGAGGCTTGAACTTCCAATGGGGAGAAGAGGGTATTTTTGGAATGAGTCTGTCGCCGATATTGGAAAATGGCTATAGAACCCTCTTCTTTCATCCTCTCAGCAGTTATCGCGAGTTCGCGGTTTCTACGAGGATTCTGAGGAACGAGCAATTGTCGCAGAACAGTTATCACGAGTTTCAGGTAGGCTCGACCGAAGTGATGTACGATATGTGAAATTTTTATCTGTACCAATCGCCTTTTTACGTTTCTAATTATATTGGCCGACAAATTGTGACATTTTTGCTACATAAGAGTGAATAATCATTTTTTATCATTAAATACGAGACCCAAAATTTGGCTATCATGCCATAATTTTGAGAAAAATGAAGCAAAAAGAGTTGAAACAATGATTTTGAGAAATTTTATAATGTAGAAATTTTTTTGAATTTTTTGAAAATGTGTCGCAACCTAGAAGTAGATTTCACTCGTGATCTCTCTGTGTAAATCGTCGACTCGCTGGGTCCAACAATAAAACGGGCATTAGCATCTGATAAATTTGGACATATAGTTTATTCTTTCAGAATATAAATTGCGACATTTTTGCTACATAAGAGTGAATAATCATTTCTGATCATTAAGTACGAGACTCAAAATTTGGCTATCATGCCATAATTTTGAGAAAAATGGAGCAAAAAGAGTTGAAACAATGATTTTGAGGAATTTTATAATGCGGTAGAAATTTTTTTGAATTTTTTGAAAATGTGTCGCAACCTAGAAGTAGATTTCACTCGTGATCTCTCTGTGTAAATCGTCGACTCGCTGGGTCCAACAATAAAACGGGCATTAGCATCTGATAAATTTGGAGATATAGTTTACTCTTTCAGAATATAAATTGTGACATTTTTGCTACATAAGAGTGAATAATCATTTCTGATCATTAAGTACGAGACCTAAAATTTGGCTATCATGCCATAATTTTGAGAAAAATGGAGCAAAAAGAGTTGAAACAATGATTTTGAGGAATTTTATAATGCGGTAGAAATTTTTTTGAATTTTTTGAAAATGTGTCGCAACTTAGAAGTAAATTTCACTCGTGATCTCTCTGTGTAAATTGTCGACTCGCTAGGTCCAACAATAAAACGGGCATTAGCATCTGATAAATTTGGAGATATAGTTTACTCCTTCAGAATATAAATACTGAATATTATTTACTTTTTCGAGGTACTGCCATCGAGAGGACCACACTCTCACTGCACGGCGGAGGTGATGGACAGGGGCCTTCAGTTCTTCAACTTGATCGATCAGAACGCAGTGGGCTGTTGGAACTCTGCGCTACCCTACACACCGGAGAATCATGCGATTGTCGCGCGACACGACCAGGCTATGATATTTCCCGCCGACGTCAAGGTATACAAATATTTCTCACACCACACCTAAAACTGCTCACTGTGCTCAATCTCACCGATTGATTCCCGGTTCTTGTCGCTCGCAGATCAACCGCGGCTTGCTCTGGATCATGTCAGATCGGATGCCAATATTCCTCGAGTCGACTCTCAATTACACGGACGTGAACTTCAGGATACTGACCATGTCGGTTCAGGAGGCGATCGCCGGAACGGTATGCGATAATGTACCGTGGAGATTCTACGGCAATCAAATCTGGTAGGACCGACGCGCGTCTTCGATCGCACGTTGAGAATGTAATTATCAGCGAATATAAAAGTGATGACCAAAGGCGTTCGATCATATTCCCCCCTCTTACCCCCCGTATCTTCACGAGATCGTTCTCGAGGACGTAGAGTGTTCTCGCGGACGTTAAACCGTGCCCGGCGCGAAGAGGAACGGCTAGTTTCGGCTCGTGCTCGGTGCGAAAATAGCGAACGAATTGGCGTGAATCAGCAAGCCCCGCAGGAGCCAGATGGCCCAACGCGGCCCATTAGTTTTGGCCCTCGTTTCCGATAATTTGAAGGCGACCCGGCCAGTCCCGCGGCCTGATATACGAGCCGATACCGCTTTCTCCCTCCGTCGAAAATTATCCGTTTTACGCCCCCGCCCGTAAAATATGGCCACGCGCTCCGTCCGTCTTCGTGGGGCCCCTGGAAGGACGACTACGTCTAGGAAACCTCGAGGCTCTTCTCCCCGGGCGGCACACATTCGCGCGCTCGCACACATGCCGTCGTGCTCGTTGTCTTCTCTTTTCACTTAGCACACGTCTGATTTGGCGCGATCAAGGCGAGCTTCGCTGAGAGCTATATCGTTATATCGCACGATAGCGATATTCCTGGATTTATCGGCCCGCGCGCCTTCTGTCGCGCACGATTTACTAGCTGGCACTCGCCCCGGCTGCTCGATGATTTACGCATAGATCACAAGTGAGATCTATTCCCAGACGTTGCGCTTTGGCGAGCCTAAAATTTACATGGCTGCGGCTCTCTCGGCAGATCCGCGTACGAGATTCACGCCTCGAATGCTAATTCCGAGGATCGATAGATCGTAGATCGCCGCGCTCGGACGCCGACTAACTGGCGATTAGAGGGCGAGCTGATCGGCGGCCGGGTTGATCGGCCGGCGATATCGGCGCGTTTTCAATTTGGAAAACGAGTCTTTTCGCGTGCTCCATCCCGATCGTGATAAGGCGGGATCTTAATGGCTCCGGAGCTGTCTCGTTAGCGCTTGGACCCCGCGTGCATTATGGCAGGGAAGATCGATCGAATCTGTAATGAACGAGAGACGGCCGCTCGGGGCTTGCCTGGAAAGTGTCGGGCCACCTTCTTGCCCGTCTCGTTCTCGAAAAGGGTAGCGCATGAAAAATTGCCGCGCGCATTGTTAGACGTGGAGGCGGTGACAAGAAGCGCGTTTTAACCCCTCGCGTTGGAATTGCGTCTCCCTGATCACGTTTTGCTACTTACGAACGAAAAACCGGCCAGCACGTCCTAGGCACGTGATGTCAGAGGTCTGATGTTTTCAACCGAACCAGGTTGCACTTTTTACCTTTGTGATGAAATAAGTATGTATCCTGAAGCTTGTTTTCTTTAGCTGCCCTAATGCTGCGCTGAAACTTGGTTCTCTTTCCTTTCAACGTCCAGATAGACAAATGTACGTAAATTTGGCAGCTTTACTAGTCGATTTGTTGTAAAGGTTGTGTTCATTATGAGTTTATTTATGAGTTCATTATGAGATTTATATCGCGCTCATACTTACCATATAGAATACAATATGAAATATGCTAAATATAATATAGAGATTTGAGTGTAATTGCTTGACACTAAAGGTAAAAAGGGCAGCCTAGTTTAATTAAACAGAGCAGGCCTCGAGCGTTGAAGGGAAAAGCAACGGAATTTCAGTGCAGCACTCTCTCCAGTTTAGCTGAGAAAACAAGCACCTAATGTAATTTTGTTCTCCCGTCGACTTAAATTGACGCGTACGTCTCGCGTCAATTAAATGCCATCGCAAGGAGTCGCCCGACGTCGATGTGGCGACAGCACCTGCCGCGACAATTAACTCTCCGGCCTGGTAATGCGCGCGAGAGAGCGCGATCAGACGGAGGGAGGCGATATAACTCGCGCAACACTACCCGCGCGTGGTTGATCACGCTCATGTTTTAGAATCTCGAGGGCGTTGCCCATCGCCTCGTGGACGCGAGTCGTAAAATCACCTCTGAGTGACGAGAAAAAAATGGGAAGGTGCGAAGGGAAGGTGGTCGGGCTGCCTGAGGGCGGGCGTAAAAAAAATTGGTCCGAAACGCCGTGCTGATTACACGTTACACGTACGAAAATCCGCCGTCGCAGTGGCGTGTTCTGGGTTCGTCGGCTTCGCGAAATTTCATGAAGCGAATTTCCCGTGGAGCACATCGCGCGCGTCAAGTAGTTAAAGTACATACGTGTCGTATGTATTACGTGATCCCTCCTTTCATTATTTCCCATTATTCTCGCGTCTCTCTGAAATTGTTCCGTGCTGGTCGCGACGCTTGTTTTCCGGAGGGCTGGAATTCGCGAGGTCGTCGGACTCGCTGTGAAGAAAACGAAGCAAATTTAGAAATATAAATTGTTACGCAGAATTGACGCGAGTTATGAGGACCGAGCGACCGGCCTGAAGAGACCGCGAAATTCGAAAGAACGTCCGGTTCTTCCTCTCCTCCAGATCCTAAAAGAGAGGAGACGCGAATATCGAAAATCCTCTCGATACGCCACTGAGCTGACGACCGGCCGGTCGAATTTCGGGACGAGCGAAGAGTACACAGCGGCCAGATTTCAAATCGCGGCTATCCTTCGGTTTGTTTTAAATTAACACCTACCCCGTGCGCGCGCGCAAGCACAAGGCACGCTTTAACACCTTTTTAAAAGGTGGCTGCGCGGCGGCCGTCCGCTTCGTTTCTCCATTTTCCCTTTTCTTGCTGTTCTTTTTTTGTTTTCATCGGCGCCGGTAATTATGGGTTACCGGCGACGACGTGAGTCTCGTTACAAGTTACTCTCGGCTACTCTCGTGTCTTCCAATCTTTTTGATTTATTTCAGTCTGAACTCAAGCAGTCTCTCTCTTTCTCTTTCTCTCTCTCTTTCTCTCTCTCTCTCTTTCTCTCTCTCTCTCTCATCTTACCGCTGAAAGTCCTCTTATTTTTCACGAAAGAGCCGCGCAGAAATATCGCAAAAATCACGTTAAAGGTCACTGCTACCTATCATTCATCCCCGAGATGATATTTAAATTACCTAAGGATACAAGGCACGAAAAGTGCACTTCGCTGTTATTTACTCAGGCAACGTATCGTAAATGTAAATACGTTTCTTGCGATGTCCGCCATCCATCACACGCGAATCCAAACGCGAAGTTTACGTTTCGTGTTTTGGTCAAGAACGCACAGGGTGGAAAACGCGGTTGTGAGAAGGGACGTAATTTTACTTGAAATAATACTCCTAGTATCTTCCTACAAGAAAGAGAGAAAGAGAGCTAATTTATCTTTGATACTTGCAGAGAGCGATCGTAAGTACCCGAGTTTTGTTTCTCCAACATAAAGATTGCGTATAATTTCGTATCGCTCGCTTGCAACGAACCGTTTTTATCGTCGAACGCGAGGACAGGTGTGCGATATGTAGTATTCTGATAGAAATATATCGCGGCTATGTATTCACGACGAGAGAGCAGTTTTGAAGGCATAGGTGCTTCCATCTATACAAGCCAGCTTTCAAGATAGACCGCCACACGCGGTCTCGACCGAGAACCGCCGCAACACTTATCCTACGGTCTGTTCTTTCACGTGCTGCCTCTGTCGAGTTCACGATGAAGTATCAAGAAGTGCGAGGACAGCGATCAGGACTCGATAATTTTGCAATGATGAGGTGCGCGCTAATCATAAAAGACCACGCGGCTCTCGTCGATACGAGACGATTGACGTCTATATTTTTTACAGTAATTTTGCGAACATCAGCGTTTCTCACGTCGTGATTCCATGAAAAGAAGTAATTATTCAAGTAATTAATTTTGAACGGACACACACGGAATATTGGAAATTTATCGAGCCATCGTTAACTTCCCGAGTCTTTGGCCAATTTGATGTTCCTTTAACATGAAAGAGCTGATGTCTTTCACGTCACAGCCTTGACTGAAAGTCAAGTGCTTCTCGCGAGAAGAACCCCCTTCGGGGGTGCAGTCAAATGAAGAAACAGCGAAACTTCGGTCTTCCCTCGATTTCACGTGGAATTCAATTTCATTCGTCGCGAGGGGTTCATAATTGGAGGATTAATTACGAAGACATTCAAAACGCGGAAAATCGGAAAATCGTGCCGCATGACGGCCTCCCTTGACATTTTCATTAACGAGAAGTTAACGTGGCCGAAGAATTCACAGATGAGACCCGTGCGGCGTCACTAGAGATCCGCGGCGTAATATTCCATCGGGCGTGCTTCTCTCTCTGTTTCGCTAAACTAATTAATTCCGGTTCCACAGTAGCTCTACGATTTTACTGGTTCGAGGCGCGCGTCGGTTTGCAGCGAATTTTTAAACAGCATAATTAAACCACGCTTAACGCGTTATTAATCGATGATGCAATTTTAGAGTTCGGCGGAAATCCCTCTGTGCCGCGTAAAGCCGACGTGGGTTTCATCGCACGTGCATGAAAAATCATTACTCCGACATGCCTGACCTCGGCATGAAAAAAGCACCATTGTGTGCGTAACTCAGCAAGAAAAAAAAAAGAAAAAAAAAACAGGAAAAACAAAGAAACTTATGACTGATGTATCCGAGTTTTATTGCGCCGCGATACGTCTCTCCGTGCGCGCGCCTATAACGAGAATAATACGTGAAAGTTAAACACTCTGCTCGCATGGCCGATAAAATAAAATCGTTTCCGCGGAAAGCGCCCGGCCGAAGCTGAGGAATCAATAACGCCTGAGTAGAATATATAATGGTCAAAATAACGGCACGTTATTGTGCAAACGCGGCGAGCAGAGAAACAGTGATTGGCGGCTTTATGCGCAAACGTTATTTCAATTAAAAAGAATGAGAGCACGTGGCTGGTAAAGCGACGTGACGCGATGTTCCTCCTTGTTTTTTCTTCTGTAATAGTCGGGAATTATTTGGCCGACCGACTTTGCCAGTTCGGCGAGAAGGTCGGACCTCGACCCGATAAATTTCAAGCACTGTTCTCAAACGGTTATGTTCGCAACGGACCGCTGTTTTGGGTTCCGCTTAACGAGTTCGACGGAACATTCTCCTTGTTACAATGCATTTAGTTGCTGGCCCG